AAGTCTGTTTCGTTTTTTTGTTTTACATCATTCATTATTGAAAACACCCTTATAAAGTATTGCATTACACCATCGACATTCAAATTTTGTCTCTTCACTTGGCACTTCACAGAGCCACCCTGTTGGAGGATTTTGGAAAACCTTAAAATAAGATACAAAATAATTAATTATTATTTGCTGTGACAAAGGCACTCATTTAATTAATAAATATGCATACATAATATGTATTTAAAATTGTAATATTTAGAGATGGGAATCGGAAAGTTTCCATTTTAAGGAAACTTTCCGTTTTGGAAAGTTTCCAATTGGGAATTTATTTTCATTTTGAAAGTTTCTTTTAAGCTACCGGAAACATTCCTTGGAAACATTCCTTGGATACTTTCCTTGTTTTTTTCATTTAAATGTCAATTGTTTAACCGCTGATTTTCGTTAAGACCATTATACAAGGCCAAGAAACTTTGAATAAGAATTTAATTTGTGTTAGTTTTAAGCAAAAGAAGAAGTATAAATAATGTAAGTTATTTTACATTACCTCAATGAAGCCGGATTATTCAGCATCAACACAAAAAACTTTTTTAAAAAAATAAACAAATTTAAAATCATTCTTACATTTTTGTTGTTTATTTATAGGCATAGCACAATGCCAAGAGAAAAATCCAGTGTTTGGAATTATTACAAAATAGTGCAAAAAAACAAAAAAGACCATGCTCTCAAGCAAGTTCTGTAAGAAAATCTATGTCGTTAATGCAACCAAAAATTTCACAAAAAGTTAATGTGTTATATATTTTTTGCAAATCCCTGACATAAAAAAAATATTTTCGCAATAAAAAATTTTTTTTTGAAACTTTCGGAAAATTTCGGGAATTTTCGATGGAAAGTTTCCGGGAATTTTCGTCAAATGGGAATTTTCCCATCTCTAGTAATATTTACCCTTGAGAATCTTCTTCACTTGAACTCATTTTTAAATAAATCTCTAATACACAATGCACATGTGCATGCATGCAAAAAATCCTTAAAATATAATATACCTACCTAGTTATGATTTATTAATTATAAATAAAAGAAATATATCTATTTTATACTAATCATATCTATTAAAATTCGGGGCTTCCCCAGTGTAGCACCAGTGATGCAATTCGAGTCTTATACCATTTTACCATGTCAGATTGCATACGAAATGAATGAAATAATTACATTTAAAATTTAAAATTTAAATCATATTATAGTGTTAAAATCGAGTTAAAGAATTAAATAATCTATAATAAATAATAAAAAAATTTATATATAATAAATAATACAAAAATTTAAAAATGAAAAAAAAAACATGTGAATTTTAAAAATTCTTCATATTGTAGTGGTTTTTGTAAAATATTTACTGAAGATGCATTTCTGGCAACACTGAAATGGATAGATGCAATTGATCATCAAGATTTAAAAGAAAAATTTAACTAAGAATATTAATATTAAAAACTATTTTTAGAGCCCTCAGAACAAGATAGATAGATAGATACTCGTAGATAGATTTTATTGATGCTTTAAATTATACAATTTTTACACAGGTCATAAAAATACAGATATTCAAAAAATAAAAATAAAATAGTAAAATATTAAAAATAGTTAATACTTAGATACAAATATAAAGTTATAAAGCAATTACATAACAGGGTTTAGGAATTCCTTATACGAATAAAAAACTTTATTTGTCAGGTACGTTTTTTAAGCTGTATTATATTTCTTTCCCTCCAAGATTTTAATATGATTAGGAAGTTTATTAAAAAATAAAGGGGGCATAATAAGATAATGCATTCCAAGATTTAGACAGCCTACAATATTCCACTCTGAGATCCCGGTTGTTTCGAGTTTCTATCCACGTACGTTGGCTCCAAACGCTATAGCGTGATAAAAGTTTTTTTTGCATATATGATGCACTCGTATATGTACCTTGACGGCACAGTCATAATTTTTAGGTCACTAAAGTAATTCTTGACATCTTTTCTATACCCTATTTTTGCAATTACTCTTATTGCTCTTCTTTGTAGAGAGAAAAGTCGTTCTGCGTGGGCAGAGTGACCCCACACGAGTATACCATACATGCGAACTGTTTGGAACATGGCATGAAAAGTTGTTAGAACAACACTCTTTTCAACCGAACCTATCAGTGTTTTTATTAAGTAAATTGTTTTTGTTAGTTTATTTGCTGTCTGATTCACATGATGATCAAATTTAAGTGTTGGGTCTAAGAAAATGCCCAAGATTTTAACATATTCAGGATTGCTTATTTCTGTCTCCGGTTTTCTCAGGAAAAATATCATATTCACCGTTTTTGATTTTTCTTTCCTGAAACCATATTGGTGAATGCTAAATAGGTTATTTGATTCAAAATATTTATATAGTTGAGTTTTTAATACGGTTTCAAATATTTTTGATATGGCTGGAATGAGTGATATGGGTCTGTAGTTGTTAATATCCTGTTTGTCTCCCTTTTTAAAAATAGGAACTACTTTTGCCAGTTTAAAGCAATCAGGATCCACAAGCGTGACCCCAGATAGCCGGGATAGTGTGCGACTCTTGGGACTATTTATCGACAACTAAAAAAATCTGTGTCGATGAATATTCTCAAGATAAGCTACTATTCTCTATTTGGCCTTAATGAGCGTTATATTTAACATGTATATATCCTTACTGTTCTTGTTTTTTAATTGATTTATAGCATCTCTAACCTGTACCATGGAAACTGCCAAAACCCGATCCTATAGAAATAGTGCCTCTTTTGAAATATTCCTCGATAGAAATCCTTGGGACCTCTAGACCATCCAATATTTTCCCCGCTATGCCTGCAAAAAATTCATTAAAATTACCTGCAGGAATATCTGGATCCCCAGTGCTGGAGACTGCCTTTCTGTTGTTATTTACAACGTCCCAGGCTGCCTTAGTTGTGTTGTCAGATTTTTTTATGTAATTTGAATTGACTCTCAATTTTGATTGATTTATTGCTTTTTTATATTTAGACCTATAGTCCCTAAGTTTATTACCAAATTCTTGAGTTTCAAAGTTCAGATACAAACCTTGCAATTAGATTGTCCCTCATCTGCTTAATTTCATCAGTAAACCAGACAACTTTTTTTTGACTTCCCAAACAACTTTTCTTTATAAGTGGAAATGCATCATCTCTAAACGATAAAAATATATTCAAAAAAAGGTTAAATTTGTTGTTAACCCCCATTTGTGTATTTAAAAATTGCCAATGTTCATTTTGTACAAGATGATACATTTTATATTTTCCCTGCAATGTAATAGGTCTTACAAATAAACTATTAGCACATCTTTCTTTCTCCTTAAGCACCCTACTGACATCTATAATAACATCTATAGCACAGTGATCTGACATAACTGGGTTAAACACATTTGACACAGAATTTAAAATATCATTAAAATTTACAAAAATATTATCGATACATGTATTCACTCTTGTATTTTCATGGTTTATGTGTTCAAAACCATAAGATTTTGTGATATCTAAGAAATTGCTTAATTTGGAACATGATCTATTAAAATTTATATTAAAATCACCTGTAATCACTACTTTTTTGTTTAACTTAAAGACTTGATCACATAAAACCTTTAAAACGCTTAAAAATATATTAAAATCCCCATTTGGGGGTCTGTATATACAAATAACAACGAAACCTAATTTAGATACATCCACTGCACTTATCTCACAATGCATTTCCACACTGAGGTTGACAAAATCACATTTTTCTTTAAACTTTATTTCATTTTATATTAATATTATAGAGAACGGTATCTGCTTTGGATATTGTTATCCCTTCAGACAGTGGCGGCTGGTGGACTTTGGGTATACCAATATCTCAGTTATTAGACATGGGACCCACACCAAATTTATAATAATTTGTGACATTAAATAGACACGTTCGGCGAAAACAGAATTTAAATTGAAGTTTGTGAAAAAAAGTTAGTTTTTCGGGTCGTATTTGAGATAATACAAATTGAAGTGGTGAAATTTATAATCTACTATAGTATTATATATAATATATATAACCCATTTATGGGTTATATATATATTATTTATCGACAAATTTAAAATTTTATTTAAAAAATCCAAATATTACAGATTTTATTCGATTTTAAATTTTTAATATTTATTTTATAATAAAAAATATTTAAAATGATATAAAATCTGTAATATTTGGATTTTTTAAATTTCAACACTTTAAATTGAATTAACTTAAATAGGGGGGCCAGGAGGCGGGGGAGGCGACAAGAAAAACTAACTAAAATCCACCAGCCGCCACTGCCTTCAGAGCAAGAAGACGTCCAAAATCTAGGGATGTTAATATCAATAAAAAAATTATCGATACTTATCGATAAGAACTATTTTTAAAAATAAAAAATTGTTTTTAAAACCAAATAAGTAATTATTATAATTTTAAACAAATATTAAAAATAAATTTTGGCGTACTTTTTAAAACACTTTATTAAATAAATGAATAAATGAATATGAATTTAAGTACGTTGACGAGTTTTCACTAGATATGGGGACCAGGGATTCCCAACCTTTTCCTGGTGAGGGACCACTTTTATATTATTCTTGTTAGTAGAGACTACTATGTAGGTATAATAAAAATAAACTGTAATAATCAAACTGAAACTTTAATTAAAAATTCAATAGAAAATTACATAAAAAGAAATATTATTTTTAGGATAAACTTCTGTAATTTTGTATTAATGTGATTTCTGAGCTTGCATCTTCTTCACGAGTTCGGCTATCCTAGGACTAATATTGTGACTAGGCGTATAAAGTCTAATGTTTCGCTTCGTTGATTTGGTTCATAAGGTCCAAAATCGCGGTTTGTTTACAGACAGCGGGTTTAAAATCCGGTGGATATTGAAGAATGTTTTTGCAACCAGTTATACGTCTAGTCATTTCTTGTCTATGGGATATTCTTACTCTTTTTAACTTTAAGACTATAGCATAGACTATGACTTTAGGTAGGAACGTACCAACAAAATAAGCGGAAAACCCCAATAACAAAAGTAAATTCGGAAAATAGAAAAATATATATATATATATATATATATATATATCGATAACTATCATTAATTTAAAAAATTATCGATAAATATCGATAACTATTTTTACATTTAACATCTCTACCAAAATCCTTTAAAATCACCTGTGGCAACTCAAACACCATTATTTTTAACTTCAAAAATCCCACAAAAAGTTAAGTAAAATAATACAATTGTTGAGCTGGAAAGATTTAAGAACTAAGGATTTAATGAATTAATAAATAAATGTTGTAATTAAATTCCAAATGTTATTTTATTCTAAGTACTGCCTTTATCTAAACTGCGCACCACTCAATGTGTCGCGACCAAAAAGTTCGTCCTTTTTCAAAACGACATAACTTTTTTGTTTCTTAAACGATTTTATTTTGGTCTGTAATGTCTGCTGGCCTCATCCTCTGGCAATTCATCCTATAGATATGAGGCTCAGGGTTCTTTAAGTAAATTTCCTACAGGGTGTTATGTAAAACGGTGAAAAATTTCAATGACTTGATCCAAGCGCCGTTTGTAAAATAATTATTTTTTTCCCGATTTTATTTTAAAATAATGAAGTACTATGTCTTAGCTTAAAACGTTTTTAAAATTTTTCGAATTGAAATCCTAACAACTAAAATATGAGGTTTTTTTTCAAAAGAGTACATTTGACGCTTCTTTGTAGGCAATACAATAAGTCTTTTTAAGAACAAGAAGATAAGATGGTGAAAGATTGCTCCTTAAATAATTCTGAACAAGCGACAAGCAACAAACTTCTCTTATTTTCAGAGGAGCCTAAGCAAAGACCACTTTTTCAAAATTTCATTTTGGTGAAAATTTGCAAAAACTAAACCTAAACCGATATTTACGTTCGTTACATGTTTTCTTCATATTTTTGACCTCCTGATTGTGATTCAGTTGTCAAATTTAAGTTTAAGATCAAACCAAAACCACCAGGAATCAAAATTTGAAAACAATATTTAATCATATTTATGATTAAAATGCAAATTTCCGAATTCAATTTTTGGGCGAAATTACTGCAATTTGTTTGGGTGGTTAGGATAATGTTACATAACTTACATTTACATTGCGCAGTAGTTGCGTAACTTGTCACTTGTCACTGATAATTACCTACCTATGTTGCCAATAATTTGGTGTTGTGGACGACAATGCCCGTCCGCACCGCGCCAATATAGTAAATGAGTTTTTAAGGGACCACGATATTGAGAGAATGAATTGGCCACCTTTCTCTCCGGATATGAATCCTATTGAGCATGTGTGGAGCAGGATGAAACTTAAGATGGAAGAGAGGGAAGGATGCATGGACAACTTGGATGAATTGGTGAATGCTATTCAGGAAGAATGGGAAGCCATACCCCAGGACTTTTTAAGTAACTTGGTCGAGGGAATGCCCAGGAGGGTTAATGAATTATTAAGGGTTAGGGGAGGGCCAAGGAAATATTAAAATTTATTATTGTTATTGTTTGTTAAATTTTTCTGTTGAATGTTGTAGTTTTAATTATTATTATATCTTCACATAAAATTTTAAAAAATAAACAAACCTATTTTTATTTAACCTTATTACCAATTAGGTAGGTAATTATCAGTGACAAGTTACGCAACTAGTGCGCAATGTAAATGTAAGTTATGTAACATTATCCTAACCACCCAAACAAATTTCAGTAATTTCGCCCAAAAATTGAATTCGGAAATTTGCATTTTAATCATAAATATGATTAAATATTGTTTTTAAATTTTGATTCCTGGTGGTTTTGGTTTGATCTAAAACTTAAATTTGACAACTGAATCACAATCAGGAGGTCAAAAATATGAAGAAAACATGTAACGAACGTAAATATCGGTTTAGGTTTAGTTTTTGCAAATTTTCACCAAAATGTCATTTTGAAAAAGTGGTCTTTGCTTAGGCCCCTCTGAAAATAAAAGAAGTTTGTTGCTTGTCGCTTGTTCAGAATTATTTAAGGAACAATCTTTTACCATCTTATCTTCTTGTTCTTAAAAAGACTTATTGTATTGCCTACAAAAAAGCGTCAAATGTACTCTTTTGAAAAAAAACCTCATATTTATTTTAGTTCTTAGGATTTCAATTCGAAAAATTTTAATAACGATTTAAGCTAAGACGTATTACTTCATTATTTCAAAATAAAAACGAGAAAAAAATATTTATTTTACAAACGGGGCTTGGATGAAGTTATTGAAATTTTTCACCGTTTTACATAACACCCTGTAGGAAATTTACTTAAAGAACCCTGAGCCTCATACCTATAGGATGAATTGCCTGAGGATGACGCTAGCAGACATTACAGACCAAAATAAAATCGTTTAAGAAACAAAAAAGTTATGTCGTTTTGAAAAAGGACGAACTTTTTGGTCGCGACACATTGAGTGGTGCGCAGTTTATTTCTATACCTATAGGCAGGGCCGGATTTAGCATGGGGCCGCGGGGCCACGCCCCCAGGGCCCCCACCAATGCAATATGTAGCTTTTTAATGAATCGAATATGAAAAAAATTGTCGAAAAAATCAAAAAATTGGGTCGGTTATACCGCGCGAATCCTGTAATTTTTAATTAATGTTTCGTAGATCTAGCTTATCCGCTTGCAAATCAGAATGTAAATTATCACAAAGTTTTGGCGCGCGAAGACGTTTTTATATAGTCTATAGTCATAAGTTATGACTCATAACAATTTTAAGCAGTTGCTCCTTTAGTGCTTGTCGTAACGTTTTTGTAAATACAGGCAAACAGTCAATTACTTATAACCTAATATTAAAGTTAGTTTTTGTCCCAGATTTTTATTGGTACTATTGTCCAAACCTTAAAGGCCCAGTAAACCGGCAACAGAAAGAGATGCACAGTTTTATTTTTAGATCTGGGCGGAGCTTAAAAAAGCGGCCTGGTGCTAGTTTAATGTAATTATTTGATACAAATTTTGGCGGATTTAAGCTTTAAAGCGTGTTTGTAACCACTAGAAAAAAACAAACTTATTAGCTTAAAATTTTAACTTATTGTATTTCATATGGTTAAACGCAAGTTTGGTATTTTATAGGAAAAAAACTTTATACAATACCAAACTTCAGTGTGCTTATAAAACGGGGCAAATATCTTCATTAAGATGGGATATTTAGGTACTAAAAACTGAAAAATAGGTAACTAAAAAGGTACTAAAAAAGCATTTTAGGTTAAAAAAACAGCATTTTAGGTAAAAAAAAAAACATTAAAAGTTCAAGTTTCGTTTATAATTTTGTTTAGCGGCCTACCCAAACACAGAACATACCCACAATAAACTATTTCTATGCAATAAACTGTGTTTCACTGAGTGACACTCACAACAGAGATGTTCTATGACAGAACATAAGCTAACTACAAATAAGGTAACTGTAAAGAAAGTTACTGTTACAGTCTCTGACTATAAGAAAAAATTCTATACCGTTGAGTTGCACGCCCTGGATAAAATATTGGCGCAAAATTTAAAAAGAACACAAAAAAATAAAATAAGTAAAAATAGGTAACAAATAGGTGAAAATAAACTGACAAATTAAAAAAATAGGAACAAAAGTATAAAAAGGTAGTTTAAAGCAAAAACCTCCAAAAAAGGTGAAAACAAGTTAAAAAAATAGGTAACAAAAGTATAAAAAAGGTAGTTTCAAGCAAAAACCTCCAAAAAAGGTAAAAAAGGTGAAAACAAGTTAGGTTCATATAAAAGAAAATCTTTTAAAACACATTTTAGCATTATTGGTTTTCAAATAGTTACATCGGTTGAAAAAAGGTAAAATAACTAAAATCCCATCCCTATTAATAACGTATACTAATGAGAATAGATTAACACACTGTATTAAAATTTAATATATATTAAATATAGTTAATCTAATAACTATTAAAATAAATAAAATTATTTAATATGTTTATTTTAAAACTTTTATAAAGAATATGATAAAATTATAATATTTTTATTTTATTTTAAACGAACAATGCGGGGTTTATATTATGCAAAAAAATGAGGAAAAAAATAATTTTAGAGTAAAGACGAAGACGTTTTTATATAGTCTATAGTCATAAGTTATGACTCATAACAATTTTAAGCAGTTGCTCCTTTAGTGCTTGTCGTAACGTTTTTGTAAATACAGGCAAACAGTTAATTACTTATAACCCAATATTAAAGTTAGTTTTTGTCCCAGATTTTTATTGGTACATTGGAGTGTTGTGGAATATTTTCCGGTGTTTCCAAAACACTGTTTCGTGCTTTTCTTTGGACAAAAGATTGTTTTATTGTTTGATTTTGTATGAAAAACAGACAAATAATACGACTTTTGATGCACTTTTTTTCAGTTTGCGGTAAGTATTAAAAATACAAACAAAACATAGATCAATTTATATTTTACTTGAGTATATATATATATATATATATATATATATATATATATATATATATATATATATTGTTAGCGGATGACTAATTTAATGGCAATTCGTTATTATTATTTTATAAATATTGCGTTCATTAGACTTAGTCATTGTTATGTAAGTTAGTTGTTTTGATGAGCAATATGATAGTATTGGATAACCGCTGGCAATCGCAGAATAAATTCATTATTATTCGTGCGCTTGTAGAGAACAGCCGTAAATAAATTGTTAAAGTGAATAGTCGTTGTTTTTTCCACCTATCTCGCTATCATCAGAAGTGGAATAGTGCCTACGATCCTACTACTATTTGTGCGTGTGTGGAACGTGAACAAAATTAGTGCCAATATGAAAGAATTGTTGTCGGAGCTTGTAAAGGCAATCAAATCTAATTCCTCGTCGGAGTCGGTGGAGTTGCCAACATTTAGACCCGGAGTAATGGATGCTCGTAAATATTGTTGAGAATTGGACGCTCGTTGACTGCGGTTGCAAAAACCTGGTTTAACACCTGGATGCCTGATATACGCGACTGGGAAAACTTTAAACGGGACTTTTTGGAGGCGTTTCCACCAAGGAAAATCTCGGAAGCTTGCTGACTGAAGCGGCTTTGTTTAATAGTGGTCAATGCAATACATTTGACGCATATGTGTATGAAGAAGTATCACGCCTGAAAAATCTACGTGTCCAATGGGAGGAAAGAGACTTGGTCGAAATAATAGTCCGCGGTATCGTTGAGCAGGAGGTGCGTGCGCATGCATTTAGCAGTGGCATTGGTAAGGTGTCGGATTTAATTGCGTTTTTGGGACCGATGGCTAAGAATGCAAAGTGCGAAAGACCCGTAAATGACTTTAAGCAGCCACCTCTAAAACGTCCTCGATACAACGAAGTCCTTAAAGGGAGTCGCATTAAGGCTTGCTACCGTTGTGGTGGACCCGGACACATGCAAGGAGGCTGCACTGCGCCCATTAATTCCCATAACAAAGCGAATGTGCCTGCAGCGCCGGCACATGGTGTTGGACCAGGCACCTCTGTGCAAAACTGGGGCACACTGCTAAATCGTGCTTTGCTCGTGGGGCCGTTGAACAGCGGAAATCTGTGAACATCTGCAAAACGGGTTTGGGAGTCAAGCCGACCAAAATGGGGGTTAATGGTCAAGACTATTTGGGAATTGTCGACGCGGGTGCAGACGTGTCTCTTATGTCCGAGAAACACGCCATTCATTTTGCAGACCAAATTCGGCGATGTCACATAACTGTTTCTGGTATATTTCCTGAAGATGTTGTTGCCAAGCAAGAGGTTGTGGCAAGTGTTGAGATTTGTGGTGAAGCTGTAGCTTTAAAGCTCGTGTTAGTACCCGATATTTTGTTGGATTTTGGTGTTATCATTGGTCGGAATCTATGCGAGAGTGGCGAAATTAGTTCAATAACGGACAGTTCTGGAACTTTGGTAACCCGAAAGAAAGCTGGACTTGTCAGGCGAATCACAGCTTTTGAGCCCAGTGAAATGCTACGAACCGAGATTGATGTGCCTGTGGAATGTCGTAGTGCCCCAGCCGTATTCCAGCGAGCAGTTGGCAAAGCGCTGGGAAGGCTTGAAGACACCGTGGCGCTGGTGTGTCTGGACGGCATATTGATTCCTTCGTCCAGCGTTGAGGATGGGTTGAACTCTCTACGCAATGTACTGACTGCCCTTCAAAAAGAAGGATTTTCATTGAACATCGGAAAATGTAATTTTCTTCAAGGTCAAGTAGAATATTTGGGACGGGAAATTTCTGAAGGAGGCATACGACCAGGAACACGCAAGGTTGAGGCTTTGCTCAGAGTTAACTCACCTGAAAATGTCAAGCAAGTCAGACGGTTGATGGGCCTCGCAGGCTGTTTTCGTGGGTTCATTCCTGGTTTTGCATCCCGTACGGCCTGTGTAGCCGGACTGGCCAAGTGCAGTGAGCCGTTTGTTTGGACTGAAGAGCAAGAGCAGGCGAGGCGGTGCATGGTCGAATGTTTGACATCCAGGCCGCTGTTGTCCGTATTCGACCCTGCTCTGCCGGCTGAACTGCGTACGGACGCAAGCTCAATGGGCTATGGTGGCGTGTTACTTTGGAGGGGCGGTGCCGGTGCAGGAGTGATTGGATGTTTTGGCAAAAGAGCTACTCCAACGGAAGCCGAATTGGAGACGCTCGCTGTCGTCAGCTCACTGAAGGACTTCCGAGTTTATCTATTGGGAATCGAATTTGACTTGGTCACGGATTGCAATGCGATTAAAACTACCGCTTCCAAAAGGGATGTTTTGCCCTGTGTTGCTCGATGGTGGTCTTATATGCAGGATTTTGACATGTCGGTAGAATACCGTAGAGGAGGTTCTCTGCAGCATGTCGGATACCTCAGCGGAAGTCCTGTCACTGTTCGGCGCGTCGCACATAAGAATTGGCTTTATATTGAACAAAGGGGAGATGCTGAAGTTGGTTTTAGATGAAGCACTACACTACATGGTCGAGACGCCTGAAGGGCCGGTTGCTAAACCATTTTTCCCGAGACAGAGTCGACTGGGACTGTTGCGCATCTTTCACGATGAACAGTGTCATGTTGGCATCGACAAGACACTTGAATCCATTCGAATGCATTTCTGGTTTCCCCGATTATCAAATTTTGTGCGAAGTTGCATCAGGCATTGTTTGGTTTGCGCAGTTAGGAGGACCAGATCGGGCCCTATGCAAGGATTCGTAACCGTCTCAACCGATGAGTGCTCTCCATGCCGACTGCCTGGGCCCTTTACCGACTACGAATGAGGGATTTGGGCGTGTGCTGGTCATAGTGGACGCTTTCACCAAGTTTGGCGTGCTGCAGCCACTGAGAGCGGTTCAAACGGGGGAGACAAGGAGTGCTTTCCGGTCATTCATTTTGTTGTTCGGAACCCCGGAACTCATAATTATGTATGCTGGCAAGAATTTTAAGAATTTGAAAACTTGTGGAGGATTCAGCTGGTCTTGAATGCCACCTTCCACAGGGCCACCGGGGCTGCTCCTCTACAACTACTGGTCGGTGTGCTGGGTGTCGCACCCTTGATTCGGTCGCTCCTGCGAGGCTTGAGCTCGGATCTCAGTCCGATCCGAAACCTCAAAATTGATCGTGAGCGTGTTGGGGGCCGTCTGGATGGGGCTGCTGAGGGGCCCTTGGCCGTGAATTCCAGGAGGAGAAATACTGCAACCTATTGTGTTGGGGACTTCGTCCTAATGCACAGGGATGAGAAAATGCACCAAAGCAAACAAAACTACGAGTTCCAAGGACCATACGAGGTTGTGAGCATTACTCTAGAAGGACGATACGAATTGAGAAGAGTGGGAAAGTCACTAATAACGAAGGCAGCAAAGGATCAGCTTCGGAAGTGGCCCACCGATTGGTCCTTGTCCGTAGACATGACGGAGTTGCTTGAACAGCTTGAACAAGAATCAGAGTAAGTAGTTGGAAGGTTATACCTTCACTCAGAATCTAATTTAGTGTGGTTTTGGAAGGTTAGCCCTTCACATCAAAGTTATTTTAGTAAGTAGTTGGAAGGTTATACCTTCACTCAGAATCTAATTTAGTGTGGTGTTGGAAGGTAAGCCCTTCACATCAAAGTTATTTTAGTAAGAAGTTGGAAGGTTAGCCCTTCACTTAGAATTAAATTTAGTGTGGTGTTGGAAGGTTAGCCCTTCATATCAAAGTTATTTTAGTAAGCAGTTAGAAGGTTAGCCCTTCACTCAGAATCTAATTTAGTGTGGTGTTGGAAGGTTAGCCCTTCACATCAAAATTATTTTAGTAAGTAGTTGGAAGGTTAGCCCTTCGCTTTCAAATTGATTCAGTGTTGTGTGGAAAGGTACTCTTTATTTAAAGGCCAGTTTAGCTAATATTGGAAGGTTAGCCCTTTGTATCAAGCTACGGCTATAATAAGGCCGAAATGTTGTTTGAAAATTATTTATCGCAATGTTGGAAGGTCAGCCCTTCACATGCTATATGCCGTTAGAAGAGCTGCCCTTCGATGAAAAGGCTAAACATGCTTGAGCAAATTGGTTTCCTTTCGGAAACGAAGAAGAATCAGGCTCAGGTCAGGGTGGCGACGGAGATGGCAAAGCTACGACATAGAAGAGCTTCGAGAGCGAAGCTAATGGTCAGGAAAGGCCGTGTTAGCGGATGACTAATTTAATGGCAATTCGTTATTATTATTTTATAAATATTGCGTTCATTAGACTTAGTCATTGTTATGTAAGTTAGTTGTTTTGATGAGCAATATGATAGTATTGGATAACCGCTGGCAATCGCAGAATAAATTCATTATTATTCGTGCGCTTGTAGAGAACAGCCGTAAATAAATTGTTAAAGTGAATAGTCGTTGTTTTTTCCTTAATTTACACCTATCTCGCTATCAATATATATATGTGATTTAAGGTCTTAGGGGCCTACTGTTATGTTCCTCGCCCCCGAACAATAAGGGCGCGACGTCCAATAAAATCAGTCGCCACACCCTTAAAATTCGGGCGTAGTTTCTCTGGGGTTACATCAACTGTTTAGTGTACCAGAGAGAATTTGACACATTAGAACAACTCCGCGAACTTGTCACTGCAGCGGCAGATAAAATCTAAAATCATCCGAATATGATAACAAAAGCGATACATAATTTTCTAGTCCGCTCTCAACTTTGTGTGGATATTATATTAGGGTGGGCCGAAACAGTCTGAAAAAAATATTTTTACGAATTTTAAAACACCTTACAATAAAAAAGTATTCTTACCTTAAAATATTAGCAAAAAAACAGGTCCGTCCTTTGTTTTACCGGGCTCCAAGGCCTCAAAAGAAGGGCAAAAAATAAATTAAAAAAAAGTAACAGCTTAGTAATTTTGTGACCTTTCTTATGTCTAATATTATTCTCTATAAATTTTAAGTAATTTGAAAAATATTTAATTTGGCCCCACTGGCTACGAAAATTTAAAAGTAATTGTTGCGCAGCCCATCGCTGAATTTCATATTTTTACAGTAGGTAACTAATATATTTCTAAATATCAAATTTACCCAGAACTCACCACAAGGAGATATCTGCACCCGAAGTTTCATCAACCCTCCCAGCATTAGTAAATTAAGGGTACTCACTGGTATTGGAAGCATTGGCCTTTGTTGTCAAATATCGGCAAGTCTAAACGAGCTTTAAGTTTTGCTCTTATATATACAGTGCTTGCAAATCCAAGTCCGACCGTTTTGGGAAGGACGCATAAAAATAACAAGGATAGAACGCCAAACAGAAGGCGCTTACAATACGCACGCCTGACGCTCTGACCAATCAAATTCTGTTTGGCATTCTATCCTTATTCTTTTCACGCGGGTATTGAACAACCATCCTTCCCAACGCGGTCGGATTTGGATTTGCAAGCACTGTATACCCATCCCTTGATGTCTCACCACACACCTTTTGAGAAGCCTTAGTAACGAGTTTCTCAAACTGTGTATGGCAAAGAAAATCGGGTGTAATTTTATCAGTTATAATATGTTGTACATCTACACTAAAATTAATTTAAGGTATCTACTTTAAAGATTCTGGTTTTATTTGTCACACGTTTTCTAGTCTTTTAAATTCTTCTAACAGCCAACTCTTTTATGTTGAGACGTGAAACTGTTAACATGGCAATCGGAATATTTTCATGAGGTTTCAACTATTTTTATTATTGCATTTGGAAAGTCTCTCCAAAAATGCACTGCTTTGTGCGTTAATAGGAGCTTGGTTTTAACTTGAAACCATGTGGGAGCATATACAATAAAATGCATAGATTTTCAAATGGATTTAAACTACCTAGATATTAACGTAAGACTCTTTTGGCTGTTCTTAGCTACCATGCATGAGACAGTTTCCTTTAAGATTATCGATTTATAAGCTATTTAAGAAGTTTTTGCCGATTTAGTTTGATTTTTAAATATACAAATATACACAATTACCATGGTTTTAACATGGATTATACCCAGAATACCTTTTTCAGGCCACTTTCTAATAAAATCGGTTAAAAAAGTAGAAGATAAAGGCTATAATGTGGTTAACGATAGATGAATACATTTATCGTTATAGCAGTTACTTTCAAATGTCTTTATTAGCTACAAATTAAATTATATTTATATACTTATTTCATGGCAACAAGGTGTAAAATATGTGTTTTGTCAATTTTGATGCAATTAAATGGTATATATTTTTATATTTCGAAAACAAGGTAAAACCGAAAACAAGTAAAAAGACAAAACAGTTGTATTTTAGTGGCATAATAATAAAAGAAATAAAACTTGCAAAAATCAGTGGCGTACATTTTTTGTCAATAATATTAGTTGAGGTGCCTCCCGGGACGCCACTGAACTTGACAATATAAATATTTATATATATATATATATATATATATATACAGGGCCGGATTTACGAATTTGCCGCACATGGGCCCAACGCATCATTACCCCGAATAACGAATGACTCAGCGAATAAGCTAGAGTCGCGCCCCACTTGCCTCGTGTACATCGACTGCCGCCCTTCTACGCAGTGACGCACTACGCAGAATAATCGTGTAGTCTGATATAAAATTATCTAATGTATTAAAAAACTTCTCTTCCAACTTTTTATAGTTTTAATTAGTGTATAAATCTGAGTGAAAACAAAAATTCTGCATAAAACGCTCTTGATTTTTTAGCAAAATTTTAACTGGCCTTCAAAATTTGCCGCCCCTAAAAATTTGCCGCCCTGGGCCCGGGCCCATGTGGCCCATGCCTAAATCCGGCCCTGTATATATATATCATAATATGTACCCAACCTGGTTCAATAAATAAAATATAAATAATTATATATCTTAATGCAGAAAAAACAAATGTAATACTTTTTAAATCCAACCACTGCAGTGCACTGGTATCTTGAAACGCCCAAAAACTTAAAATTAAATAAACAAATAATTCAATAAATGTCAAATTCAAAATTTACCCCTTAGAATCTATACTTGCCTTAAAGGCTCGTATTTACGTTAAATTTAGCCAAGAATACGTCTAGCCCAGATTCGTCGTAATAAAGTAGGAAGAGTGACAAACAATCGAACAAATATTTATAACCATATTATTTATTTAAATTAAAGAGGACAAAAGCCAATTCCGAAACCAATATTTCGTTTTATGCCCCTTTTAACAGTAAACTGCCAAGGTCGTTGACCTGGCGCCTAAGTCGGTATTTAAGACGAAGGATGACAAGAAGATTGCCGCCAGTCAAGTGACAGGACTAATTTTGGTAAAACCTTTTTTTTATCAAATCGGTGAACGGGTGCAATTCGTTTATCGATTTACAGTGGGCCTCGGCCTCTTTTATTGTTTATCTTGTTGGCGATCGTTACGAACGAGAGTTGCCTCTGTTTATTTTTTTTTATTTTGTTATGTTGAAGAAGGTATGTGTTTATTAGTACCTTTTCATCAGTTCACATATCAACACTAGTCTCTTTTATGTGGTTGCCTATAGCTTTTCGGTGGGAATCGTTTCAATGTTGGTGTTCCATCGTTGGGCGTAGCCTTTTCCGCTGTTCCTACAGGATATCGGAAGGTACAGGAGGTACTGTTAATTTAATATTATCGCACTCCCAGATTGAACGAGATTAAACAGTGTATTGACAGCCTTACAACAAGCGTTTAGTACATGCAAGCAATTAATAATGCAAGGTGTCTATATACTTTTAGGAAAATGTTACATTGACATCCGTTGCAGAGCATACCGCTAATATAGGCATGATGTGGTATTTATTTGGTGGAAAATGGAATAGCTTAACATCAGTACTGCCCTACTATGGAGGGAAGTAACTACAAAAAAATTCCTAATGCTTTTTCTTGTGCTATGATAAAGCTATGGACATCTTAATTCAACTAAGAATTGCAGTAAACTATCTCATACGTTAAATAAATCAATTAAATATCTACTGCTTTTTATAAAAATTTAGTTTATGCCAATTTTCCAAAGATTTCTTGTTTAGCAGTTACTGCCTTTCTCCATAGTTGGGCAGAGTAGTACTAGAGTGTTGTCACCTGATTTAACTGGCTGTAGGCAGGTAGATATCCCGAGTCATTAATTTATTTATGAAATGGCTCTTACTCTCTTTATGTTGGAAAAACAAATACAATGATAACATGATTTGGCATACCTGTAGTTTCGGGTCTACTCGTTGATTAAGATCCTCAATTAATTAATAATAAATTTAATAAATTAATTGTTCACTATTACTACACAACTACTCAAATAATTAATAATAAATTTAATAATCTAATTGTTCACTATTACTACACAACTACTATCAGGTGTCAGCACTCACGGCGATAGACTTTGAAATTAAATGTCACTGCAATTAATTGATTGTCCAGCAGGTGGCAGCACATACACACGGCAGGAAATTTAAACAAAGTTGAAGCGTTCGTCCGATAGAGGGCGCGATGTCGCGGCGTCGAATTCAAATAACCAAGATGGCTACAACTGGCGTTACACAAGTTTGAATTAGAGAACAGGAGTTTTTGGGCTCTGTAACGCATTGCATAAGAGTGTTTTCAAAATATATGAACCAGGAGGCATTGAACATAATCTACAACTTTTAAACAGTCATGCAGGGGTCTGTTTGGAGAACATAACTTTCTCACTGCCAACGCCTTACACATATATGTATATACAGTGCTTGCAAATCCAAGTCCAACCGGGTTGGGAAGGACGGTTGTTCAATACCCGCGTGAAAATAACAAGAATAGAACGCCTGCCGGCTCTGACCAATCAAATTCTGTTTGGCGTTCCATCCTTGTTCTTTTTACGCGGATATTGAACAACCCGGTTGGACTTGGATTTGCGAGCACTGTATACGAATGCCTTATGTTCTAGTGGGACAATAAACATTTATTATTAAATCATAAACCAAATCATAATTTTGATACAAGAACCCTCGCCATAAGAAAACGTGAACTGAAAATATTGTGCTGTATAAATGTATTAAATGTTGTAATAAACTGTCTAGAGATATAAAAATTTTAAATAATAGAAATAAATTTAAAAAAAAAATTTCACTTTCTAATAAACCTGGAGCCTTACACACTAAATGATTTTATACAATATAATAGATAATTTTAAATAACTTGATTTTTGAGCTTGACGTTTTTTATATTATATTTCTTTGTATCTTTCCTGTTTTATAAAATAAATAATTATTATTAATATTATTATTATTATTAAATATATATATATATTATATTATGTATATATATTATTAATATTATATTTTATTTTAGACAAATGAGGAAATTGGAGAATTATATCAAGATGAAAAAAATCAGGCCGCCATTCTTCTTAGAAATGAAGGAGATAAAGTTGTCGTGGTAAGATTTTTTTATTAAAACTATTATTATATATTTAATAAAAGAACATAATATATTTTATTAATAATAAAAGAAAATAGCCATACAATAGAGAGCTTAAAATAAAAAGTACTGGTTTAAGACATCTAAAATCGATTTTAAAAATATGATTTTTTTGCGATCAAAAACTATTTTTATTAATAACATACTAAACATACAAGGATTTTAAAAAAAATATTTTCCATGGAATCCGTATGCCTACAAATTGCTCTAATATCCCCTGATCTCTCATTTTAAGTATACACTGCACACTGTTTAAATACTTCATAACAGCAAATTATTGAGCTAAAATTGGAGTATATATTTTTCAAGAAAATATTTTCTCGATTTTTATGTAAGAATGTCATATTCTCGCACGCAAAATCGTTGAAGAATGAAGCTCATTCTTAAACGATTTTTGGTAACATTTAGTTTTTAAGTATTGGTACCCCCAAAATGTCAAACTGATTAATAACCTCAAATTCATTACTTTTATTGAAAATGAAGCCTTTATTATTGTTTTGTAATATAAAGTTTGCTCCAACAATGCATTTTAATGCAAAATTTTAAGTTTAATGTGTAAAAGTGCAGTTCAGGTTGTACTTGTGCAGGATAACAAATATTGTCATTTTGTGTTGCCAACTGACATTTTGCGAGAAAAATCCCCTAACTAACAACGACCACAAAACAATTAAAAAAACCTAAATAAAAGTTAAAATCGAGAAAATAGTATAAATCACACGTTGCAGAAGGCTATTCTCGCACTCATTCGTTCGTCCACTCGCTCCTTCGTCGCTCGAGGCCAAATTTCGAATTCGTGCGAGAATATGTGGCCTTCTGCAACTTGTACTTTAATATACTATTCCAGGTATTTTTTTATATTCTTGACAAATTGTATTTATTATATAAAATACATAATCAAAGACCTACTTAGTTTTAAGAGCATGTTAGTCAAACCCCCCCACCCATTGAAAGTCTCAAAATAAAAACAATATATATACTACTCTTAATTTATAAATTTTTATAAATTTTTGGGTATACCCAAAGAAAATCGTAACTTAAGCTAAAACTAAAACAAAACAAGTAAACAACGACCAGTACTGCGAACTTCAGAGACATCTATTACGTATTACAGATTATATCTTAAATTGTGTACGTTAACGAGGCCATGCAAACACGCTAAATTTGCAAAGCATGCTTGAAACAATAAATAGGGATGTTCTCTATTATCGGCGATAATTTTCAATACAATTATGAATTTTATTTACTCAGTTTTTAAAGTTTATCATTATTGAATTGTTTAAACATGGTCGTTATATGGATATTAGTAGGTCAAGTACAAAAAGAAAAAAATAATTAATATCGGGACGTCCAAACAAACTCTTCCCACAGACGAGCAGAGATAAAGAAGGGAGACGAGTTTGTAGGAAGAGATGACTCAAATAAAAAAGCCTGGTTGTTTATATCAAGGGCAAAGATCATGTCAATGCTGACAACGTTAAAAACTATATAATTAAAGAAACTAAACTAGATGAAAATGAGGTCATAGTCAGTAGATGTACTATGTGCGTTCTACGCCAGCTGCAGCTGCGGCTGCGCAGCTTCGGACGGCAAACGTATAGGACGACCAAAAGCCCCGCCCCTCGGCTGCGGTGGAGGCAGGGACTATTCAAAAAATTCATATCAGATAAAAAACAAAATGTCCGCCTTGTGTATCTTATTGGTTGGGGGCCTAATCGGGGGGGTGAGGGGTATCAACCTTTGCAGGTGATTGGTTGGAAGGTGTGGTTTTGAGCTACCTTCTATAGATAAGGAGGTTATGAACTGCAGATAAGCTTGTCTCGACTTGTCAATATTATGACGTCGAGCGATAAAACATTCTTTATCAATTAAATTATTTTGCTGTTTTTTAAATAATTAAAGGTCATCTAAATAATTAAGTTGTGAAATAGATCGCAATAAAAGCAAAAAGAAATTTGCAATATTAATTTGAAAAATGTGATAAATAAATTTTTTGTTGATGTTTAAACTAATAAATTAAATAAATAAGATTAATTAAACATCTAAAGTAATATTAATAAATAAATTTTTATATTTTATAAGTAATAAAATTGGATAAATATAAGGTCAAATAGGAAATAGGTTTTGCAATAAATCAAATCAAAGTAAAATTATGAGTGAAAAATTTGGTAATTAATTTTTTTATATTTAAACCAATAAATTAAATAAACAAGACAATAGAGATCAATTGAAATTTAAAGTATTAATAAATAAATGTTATATTTTATAATAATTTCAGTAGAAATAATTTTATGCATTAAAAAAACTTTTTTAATATAATTCTTAATAAATAATTATTTAATAAAAAAAATAGTTTCAAAGTGAATTTAATATTTTTTTAAATAATTAACGATATGTAATAAAAAAGACATTTTTTTTAATGGATTAAGTAAGTAATTTAATTTCTTAAAATTTGTTAAAATATTTTATAAGATAATTTTATTTTATTTTTTAAGAAAAGTGATTTTAATATTTTTTAAATAATTAACGATATGTAATAAAAAAATATGTATAAAAAATGGATTAAGTAAGTAATTTAATTTATTAAAATTGTTAAAATATTTTATTTTTTTAAAGTAAAATTATGAGTGAAAAAATATGGTAATTAATTTTCTTAAAAAATAAAATAAACAAGGCAATAGAGATCAATTGAAATTTAAAGTATTAATAAATAAAATGTTATATTTTTCACTCATAAGTTTTTTAATACAATTCTTAATAAATAATTATTTAATAAAAAATAGTTTTTAAGTGAAATTTAATATTTTTTAAATAATTAACGATATGTAATAAAAAAGACATTTTTTCTTAAAATGGATTATGGTTTAAATATTTGTTTTGATTGTTTATTTTATTTTTTTAAGAAAAGTGATTTTAATATTTTTTAAATAATTAACGATATGTATTAAAAAAAAATATGTAATAAAAAAAAACAATTTTTTAAAAATGGATTAAGTAAGTAATTTAATTTCTTAAAATTGCTAAAATATTTTATTTTTTTAAAGTAAAATTATGAGTGAGGTTGGTAGCGCTGTTTTCCGAAGGTGGTGCCACCTATAGATAAGCGATACAAAAATTTCGAACTAGAGATAAGGGAAAGGAAGCTGGTGATAAGGGGGTGGGCGTGACAACAGTGGTTTGGTCACCTGACATCCGCTATTTGGAGATAAGGATTTATTATTAATAATATAAATTTAAGTTTTAACGCCATTTTGAATTGTGACGTCAATTTTTTAGAGATAAGGATATATTTTGAATTATTAATATAAATTTCATTTTTGACGCCATTTTGAATTGCTGACGTCAGATATTTATTATTTTCCCACCAAAACGTGTGACCTAAAAAGTATTATTCAGTCTTAATATTATCGTACAGTAATAATGATTCGTGCAAAGGAAATTGAAATGGCAATCCAAAATATTGATAAATTTTTGGAAAAATGTGGTAAAGAAGGTGAAGAAAAATTTGAAAATAAATATCCTACTCAACAAAAAATATATCGAGAATTTTTGAAAAAGGAAAAAATTAAAAAATGGGTTAGTCAAAAAGAATTTTTGGAGCAGTATCTTAATGCTAAGATTGTAAATAACCAGTATGGTAAACATTTTGAGACGTGCCCCTGGTCAAATTATGCTGAAGGTCCAGATACATGTCCATGTTGTATGGTTTCATTTTATGTGAAAGAAGCTAATGAGGTGTTAAATAAGTTACCAAAAATTACGTGCTGTTGTAAAATTAATTGAATAAACTTTAATATATATTCCTTAACAAAAACTATTTGAGTTCAGTAGTACCTAAAATGCGTTGCGTTCAACAACCCGAAAAACTACCTATAAATAATTTAGATTTATTTGAAACCAGTTCTGATGCTAGTAAACCATGGTAATTTACTACCAAATTCCTTTAGAGCAATTATTTGTGGTCCTAGTGGGTGTGGTAAAACAAATGCTTTATTAAGTTTAATATTTAATCCTAATGGAGCTAAATTTGAAAATATTTACGTTTATTCAAAATCTCTTTTCCAACCAAAATATCAATTATTACAAAATGTTTTAAGCAAAGTAAAAGGTGTGGGATATTTTCCATATAAAGATAATGATGAAATAATTGAACCTATGAAAGCTCGAAACAATTCAATTTTCATATTTGATGATGTAGCTTGCGATAAACAAAATAAAATACGCGAATATTTTAGTATGTGTAGACATAAAAACATAGACGCTGCATACTTATGTCAAACATATTCAAAAATACCAAAACAATTAATACGTGATAATTGTAATATTATTGTGCTATTTAGACAGGATGATATGAATTTAAAACATGTATTTGATGAACATGTCTCACCTGATATGCCTTATGATCAGTTTAAGAAAATATGCTCAGAATGTTGGAATGAAAATTATGGTTGTTTAGCTATTATAAAAGATTTTCGTTTAAACAATGGACGTTATCGAAAGGGATTTGATAAATATATAAATATGTAGCTAATATTAGTAGTCACACTTACCCAACACCATAATCATGCAACACACAAAGGAAAAAATTAAACTTGTTAAAGTTTTAATTACAATGATCGGCCTTAATATTTTTTTGAGTTGAGTAACAGTAATAGACTTTAAGCTGTTATTAATATTTTTTGCTAAGTAACCTTATAATCTTGGTAGAACCGCTGAAAATACTGTCACAAAAACCGATAGAAAAACTGCAGAAACTGCTATAAATACTGCAAAACTTTCGCAAGAACTGATAAAAAACTGCAAAACTATTACAAAAACCGATAGAAAAACTACAAAAACCGATAGAAAAATTGCAAAAACTGCTAGAAAAACTGCAAAACTGTCACAAAAACTGCTAGAAAAACTGCAAAACTACTATAAATACTGCAAAACTGTCGCAAAAACCGATAGAAAAACTGCAA